ATCACGTGTCGAGGCGCTGCACCTCGGCATTCATTTTCTTCTTTAATTCTTCTTTCTTGGACCTCGACACGTGATATCGAAATGGGCGAAATCGCCACTTGATATCACTAACTCTCTTGACTCTTGACTCAGCCACTTGACATGCTGGTGTGTCAGTGCATTTTTTGTACCATGCTGAGGGTAGAATGGAAACTTGCAGTGTGACACACTGGCATGTCATGCGGTGCCTTAGGGAAGAATAGTGATGCATTCACCTCATAGAGAATTTGCTGTTTCTAGGAAATTTTCATATGGAGAGTGGTCTTCTGTAAGAATGTCACTGACCTGTAACTTTGATGTGGGTACAGTACCCACATGAAAGTTACAGGAAAGTGCCTAATTGGTTGACAAATTTGAGAGTCCTTTTCAGGAAGTAGTGTCACTGATCTTGTAGAGGTCTTTTATGTCTGCTGCTTGAAGTCAGACAGGTGATTGAGCTGATATTAGATAAATATCTAGTGTACATAAGTACTAGAGAATGTTGCATACAATCACACAGTCAGAAGACTTGTATGAAGTTTGCCTTTTCTTTGGGGTTTCCTAGTTTTTTTTCATGTTGAAACTGATCAAGCCCATCAGCAGGCTGAAAGTTGGATTTTAGCTCCTTCCCCAGGGTAAGAATCATGCCGGGGAAGCTGAAAGACTTACATATGGGGAAGGATCTCAATGAGTTGAAGGAGATGGCTGACAAGATCCCCGAGAGAATTCAGAAGGGGCACTTGCCTATCACAAAGTAAGTATATCATAATCAGTTGTTTTTGGCCTACATAACACGAGACCATGGAACTCCTTTTTTTTTAGCCAATTTTTATGGTGACACTCTAGAGGAGAGATAGCAAATGGCTTTCATTTCACTTGTAGCGTTGTGAAGTCTGTCCAGAAGGTCTTCAAAGAGGCAGAGGTAGCCAAGATCGACAAGGACGAGGAAAAGAGCTTTGTGTTCTACATGAAGGGTCTCAAGATCTTCTTTGAACACATCCTCAAAACGAAGGAGTACAAGAAGGATGAGACATACTTTCGGAGCATGCTGGAGAAGGAGGTGAAGAAGGCATCAGATATTGCCAGCGAACTTGAGAAGAGCCTCGAGAGAAGGTGAATATTGAAATTGTTACTCTTGGGACAGGGGGTTAATCGTGTATTTTGAGATCTGATTCCCCCCTTTTATATTGATGTGATGTTTTTGCCAGCCCATGATTATTTCATAGGTTGCAGGTCAAAGTAAGGTCATATGCATATTAGCCAAATTCGGAATCATTAGCTGGTAAGAGTAGTAGCAATACTTTGTAGGGTGCAAGCTTTCCCAATGCTTTCAGGCTTGTGTAGGTCATGTTTACCTTCTTGTATGAATTTTTATATGAGGTTGGAATTTTGCTCACTAGATTTGTGTCTCTGTGATGACTTTAAGGTACTTCAAAAAGTCCTGCCATTTGCATGGCCTTCATTCTCCCCATTTTAATCTAAATCCCCATTATACAGTATATTGCTGTAGGCCTGCATATCCAGAGAGCACTTGGGACTGAACCCATCATGGATGCCACTTAGTGCTTTGACATGCAACAATTTTAACGAATATTTTCTCCCAGAATGGTTAAGTATTTTCCTATGAAGTGCCAGATAATTATATCGACTTCTTAAAAATAACAATGAAGTTGTCAATTTTAATGATATTTTATTTTAACTTTAACAACATCTCATTCATGAGTCATAGAGTAGGATTATGAAATAAAAAGGCTTGGCATAGATACTGCATTGGCAACTAGGAATGTGTTAACGTAGGCTTTCATTTTCAACTCAAAAGAAAAAATGCTATGCATTCTGGTGAAAAATGGTATACATCTATGTAAAAGTGTTTTTTCATAGGGTAAACTCATTTAAAAGTATATGCTGGAGTGATGAAAGCAGCATGCCAGAAAGTTAGGAGCAACAAAGAGCAGTAACATGAAATGCAAGAGTAGGTTGCTGGTTAGGCTTGGATTGGGAATTTAAATCATAGTCAGCCTTTGAGCTTTGTGTCTGAAGAAACCTTTCTATACCGGACGATTTCCTCCTCTTCCTCCATCGACAATCTCTGTTCTCTGCACTCCTTCTCGTTGACTTCTACCTAGTACAGTTCTCTCGTTGATGTAGCGTCGACGCCGTACTACCTTAGTCGTTTTGGCATTTTAGCATCATCACCTTGCAGGTCTTGCTGCATCTAGACCATGCTTGTGGCTTAGGCCTATATAGAGGATGGAAGCCTCTGTATTTTGCAGTATATTTATTATGCATTGCTAGTTTAATGAAGAAGAGTAATTTCAGGTCTTCCCTAACACTTAAAACTTCTCAGTCTCATCCACTCAGTCAGAAGACAAAAACCAGCATGAATTCAAAGCATTTTAAGGTATATTTTGCTAAAAAAGTCCGTATTTGGACCTATCGGGACACTATAGGACAGTGGTCGACTTCTTGGATAAGGTACTTTCATCGGCATCGAAGGAGTAGGACCTGACGGCTCGGCTTCTCCTGAAACTACGTAGTGTCATCAGGAGCTCTCGAGTCCTCAGTGTGCCTGACAAATACCTCAAGCCAGGGTATTGAATACTTAGCACTGCTTTCAGACCTAGCCAGGGAAATAAATTTTTATCCAGAATCATCTTGATTTCTTATTCCAGGGTGACCTGTAATTCCTTGCTGAGGACTTTGCCAGAAGATGACGGGTTCGCGTTCGGACGCCGTTCCACGGTTGACCTCCTGTTCCTCATGGATTGGTTCACAGAAGATTCTCCTGCACCTCAGTCCCCTCTTCAGAATCTCTATGATGCAATCGTTAAGGTAGGGAAACCACTCTGTTTCTCCTGTAAGCTTTGAAATGTCATTGTTTCCTAAGAGAACTGTACCCTAACAGCCTTCCCTGACTGGAGTTATGGTTTAACATCTTGAATTGTCAAATGCCATTTTTTAGCCTCACTTTCAGAAGCCTCTCTATTTTGAAAGTTTTTTCTATTATTAGTAATAGCAGAAACCTGTTCCCCACCTAATTTATGTCATGATGCAAGTATATGCTGAACTTCACATTGTTTCAGCTTTGAAAGCATTTCAAATATTTTGAAATCTATAATTAACCAAGATTCCAAGATTCCAAATTTCCAAGATTAATTATAAATTAATCTTGGAAAACTCTAATAGCTTGTTGTAGGTGACCTTCCCTCCAACCCATTGTCCCCACTCACTTAATCAAAGGTCATTTTTCACGTTTTCTGTTCCTATTCCCCATTTTTTAACTCTGCCAAAGCTAAAATTTTGTGTGCAGACTAATCAGAGTAGGATCGAGACTGAATATTTGTTTCATGGAAAGTAGTTGAGTTCTGAAAGGAGCAACTATTGTGCACTTGGAATATGCTGCTCTCAATGTCAAGAAACAATGGGAGTCTTGAGCGACTGTCCAATCCTTGAATAGGCCACTCTCCCTGGGCTGCAAAATGCATGGATTGGACCAGGTTCTTCCTTTGTCCCATTTCTCACTCAGTTTTGCAACTTTCATTGAATTGTAGTGCATCAAAGGGTTTCCTTTTCATTCCTTGTTAGGAATTTCATGCTATCCTCATAAGCATGTACCTAGACTTCCCACCAGCTCAGTGGACTTCTAGATTTCTCCCTGAAGATTATCCTTCTCTTCTTGTTTTTCCTCATCCTCCTTCCATCATTGTAGGTTACATATAAAGTTTTGAGTCAGATATCCCTCCAAGGAGGCTTTTGGATCATCAGATGACACAGTATCTGCAAATCATGCATTAAACTTGTGCTCATGTAATTCTGCATACATCTATCTCTCTTCATCTCTGATAAAATGTCCAGTCTTCTTGATGTTACAGAAGAGCAAAGATCACCTAACTTCAATGATCAGATCAGTTCAGTGGTGGCTGATCCATTCTCAGAATGCAGTGCTGCATCTCTTGGAAGATGGAATGTGATTGTTGAAGTTAATTAACAAATTCTTTTTTGTTGCATATTATTTATTAAATTGGTCATTTCATTAAATGAAAAGTTGAAGAGATCAATGCAGAAGTGAATAAGGTTCAAGTTGATTGTAATTTGTAGGCACTGTGCCATCCCTTGTTTCAGAGATCTCCTTGCATGAGGTGTTGCACCTTGTGCTGAGCCGCTCTCTGACTTAGCAGTCGGTCTCCTTTCTTTTGCAAGTGCTAGTCTCACAGCTAAGTTATTGAAGATGACAACTGTGAAATATATCCAGGAAACTGTTTAGGAAAGATACCCCTTTTCAGCTTAGGAGTCACAATTAAAATAGGAAGAAACACCCAAGTCATTTAGATCAGACACGAGTGCAAGTGATTAGGCCGTAAACCTGGGCAGAGGAAAGGGGCAATGGCAACTGTCCAGCAGAGCCACTCACTTTCTTGGAAAAATTATTTTTCTAAGGAATGGTGTTCCTAACTTGTATTATGGGGAGACTTTTCTGTTGATGTTTGGTTGGTTCATTTCCTTCCATCAGTGGGATCCAGGCACGAGATACAAGTGCACACATCCGATGATCGTGAAGGGTGGATATGCGGAATGGTTGAGGACATACCCTACATACACAACGAATGGCCTTGTCTTTCCTCCCCCTCTCCATAGCATCACTCCTGTTGATCATAATGACATTGGTGAGGACTACTTCTGTTTATCAGCTTTTGCACAAGTCATGAATGACTTGTGCAAACAATTTTCCCATACAGGTCAACTGAGCCCTGTAGATAAGTGGTTCTCAACCTCTCGATGTGCAGCACACCTAAGCGTTTCATGTGGAAAACCTTAACCTAAATTGCAACTCCAAAGCATGCGGAAAACCTTGGCCTAACTTGTGGCACACCAGTTGAGAACCACTGCTCTAGATGATTGATAGGTGTGTACCCTTTGAAAAGCTTTAGGATCTGATGGTACACATGACATTTGTGAATATGGGGATCTTGGGATTTATTTTGTAGTGTACAGATCACTACTATAAGAACTGAAGGATTCATTGCACTTGATCTAAAAGAATTTCTACTACTGATAAGGAAAGTCTGTTATCATAAGTGAATGCAAGTTCACCAAAAAATTTGTGGATGTTTTTTGCATTCATCTGCACTGCCACATTCTTCAGTACATGGCTTGGTTTAATTTTGTCATGCAAGTTAGAGGCTGAAATGCTTCTTGGAAAATATTCCAGTTATTGAATATCCGGATTTGGACACGTTTCGTCCACCACCTGAGACCTCTCCAGAAGAAGCACCTGCATCCCTGCCTCCATCCAAGAGCCCACTACAGGAAGTGCCATCGAGGACAGAACCAGACGTTGGGCTTCACAGACTGCATGGGGGAAGAGTTGGCATGGAGTCCCAAGTGCTAAGGCCTCTTGCTGCTCCTGAGAATGCAGAGGTCAAGCAGGTCTGATCTGGCTCTTGGTGTTCTACTATAGATAAATTGATTTTGTATGGTACATGGTTGGATGTAGTTCTGGTGGTATTGGGTGACTGGGATGCTTTAGTTGCAACAGGTTTTGTTCCTTAAACATGAGTTTAGAAAAGAGAGAAGTAATCCAGGATGAAGAAAGTGTTTCCAGTTGAAAATACTTTTTTTTTAATATCTTGTTTAGAAAGCATGCATTAAATTTTCATTTTTTATTTTTTGGCACATAGGCTGAAGAAGTGCAGATTTCTAACTTATGCAGTTCCATTTTCATTTTTAATTTTCATTGCTTTTGGGTATTATAAATGAATGTCCAAGCTAAAATTCTGCAAGCTGATGCAGTTCCTGTTTTGAAAATTGAATGAATTCATTGACAGAGTAAATATTGATTTATCCCTCCTTTAAGTTCAGAATGGAAAGGAATGAAAAGTTCCAATATGTTCTTTTTGATAGATCGTTAAGAAGCCTCCAACAGTGAACCGGGACCTCAAACCTGGAAAGAAGATGGAGGAGAGAATTGAGGAGCGGGGAGAGCTGCTTGAGAAGACAAGGGAAGTCCTTCGCTTGGAAAAGGAGTGGGATCAGGTGCGACTGCGGCGGGAGAAGGAGTCTGAGGAGGCCATGCGTCAGGAGCTCCAGCGAAAAGAAGAGCAGCTTATTGACCGCATCTCTTCTATGGAGTCTGAGAAGAAATCTCTTGTCAGTTTCTTTCCTTTCATCATTCTTGAGTGTCGAATGACTTTTTGTTACTCTCTCATTGCTTCTGGAGAATATGCATGTCATTTTCCTTTTGATGGGGTTGCTACAATGATGCACATGTTTCTCAAGGAGCTGGGGTGCCAAAATGACTGCCAAAATAGTTTTGTGACTGCCCAATTGAGATATCTAGATTTATTAATGCCACTGATGAAAGAGTATTTCATTGCTCAGGAGGAGAAATGGGAGACACAAGCAAAGGAAAATGAGGAGCTGCGGAAGGAGATGGAATTGTGGAGGAGCAAGGCAACCTCATTAGAAGAGAAGCGGGAAGCTGAGAAGGAGGAGGAGAAGTTCCGCGAACAGGAAGAATTGAAGAAGAAAATGAATGCCGAGGTGCAGCGCCTGCGGGACGAGCGCAAGGCCAAGGATGCTCGCATGTGAGGGCCTGTTTCCCATCTCTCTTGGCATGGTTGTCTGGGTTATATTTGGTGACTGTCCTAGGACAATAGGAAGCAGGAAGCATGTCTGAAAAACTTGAGATTATCCTATTTCTCCTCCTTTCTCCCCCTGAGGAATGTCAGTTTTTGCTGTTGAGGGAAATTTGAATCCTTTTTTTATTTCCAAATTAAATTTGTTGTTGTCCAGATTTGGAATTTGTCATGAAAAATTTTTTTTTCCATCTATTTGGAACTAGTTAGAAAAATGAAAAAAAAACTGACATACTTGGGAATATTGTAAGTTGTGCATTGCCTATTTTATTCCCTAAGTCATGAAAAAAAAGATGTGAACCCAGTTTACCTCCTCACTTCAAGGTAGCATAAATTCACATACCCTGATATAGAAAGCTTTATGCCATCAGGAAATACCTTCTGACCCTGGCCCTTTCTAGGTGTTTTATATTTATAGATGGATTTGTAACTTCAATCATGCATACCAGCCCAGGGGTAAAAACGCTGCAGCATCAGAAATTCATCATTCAATTCATCAGCGATTTGTGATTGAAAGGAACACATCTATTCCTAAGCCTTTGGGAGTCTCAAGGATTCTGTGTGTTTCACCTAATAGCTCTGCTGAAGTGCAAAGGCTGTATTTTAAACTTTAGGAACATTCAAGCATAGCTTGAGAACCCCTTTTACATTGAGAAGGCAGGATAGATAGTGGAAAAATATTGTATATTAAGAGTCACCCTAATGACTGACAAATTCTAGATTGGATGGAATTTGGGGTCATTGTTTATAAGCTCCATGATAAATTCTATAAATGACTACTTTAACTCACTTCTAATCCAGTTTAATTCACTTCTCCTTTATGTGAAAACTCCTTTCTTCATATGCATAAAGAACATTCTTGTTTTTTTGTTTTTTTAACTTCTATGATAGAAAGAACACCCCCACAATGTTTTCATCAGCTCTCTTTGCATTCTTCCATATCCTACATTTGCTTTTTATATTTTATCAATTACAATTAAGAGTTCTATGCAGAATGTCTTTGCTGTATCTTTCAGCACATCTTTCCTGGGAAGTTTTTATCATTCAGGTCACAATTTTCAACTTTTTTAGTTGTTGAGAGTCTCTGCCTCCAAGGATTATTATTTCTTATTTTTATTGTCACAAAATACAAGCCTGGAATGAACACTGGAGGTTGTAACATGGAAGCATTAATTGATGAGAAGTTGCCTGGCCACACATTTCTTAGATTGGGGAAAACCCTTAAACCTGGGTTTTTGAGAAGCGTTTCCATCTTATTCATATCAGAAAAACCTGTAAAATGGGTATATTCTCATGAACACATGCTGTTGGGGGCAAGAAAGATAGACCTAATGTTCTCATATTCAAGGACTTGGTTTCTCATGCATAGCAACATGTTGGAAGGCTATTTTGAATATAGTAAGCTACAGGGTGTGCACCAGTGCCCACCTATGGACCTGAGATGCCCTGCCAATATTAACACCATCTCAGCTTCAGTCCGTTTAACATGGTCCTTCTACTTTGCTTTCAATGCTCTTTTCTGCAGCAGGCTCATGTTGTCCTATCTAGGATTTAGAGTTGGGAAGTGTCATTGAGGTGGCATTGGGGAAGAGGAGGGAGACATCAAGTTATTGTCAGATGTTATGAAGTTAAAGAGATGCCGTATTCAAAATCAGTAAAAGTATGCTCAACGAAGGGAAGGTAAGGGGGGGGTCTTCAGATTGCAATTTTCACCAATGGATGGTGTTCTTGTGACCTGAAGCAGACAAGTGAGCTGCAGCTGATATGGGCCAAGTGGTCCTTGAATGTCCCTTAAATGAATGTTGCCTAGGAGTCCTCAAACAATCCAGTCTGATGCTGTTGATTTGATCCTGGATGCAGGAAAAAACTGCAGGAGGAGGCTGAGGCAGAGAAGCAGGCCAAGGAGACACACCTTGTGAATGGATTGGGAGATGTCTCACACTTGAATGGATCAAGAGAATCCACCCCCAGGATTGGATCGGGGGAATCCTCCCGAAAGGCAAAGTTAGGAGAATCTTCCCCCAAGACTGGATTGGGGGAATCCACCCCCAAGGCCAGGTCAGGAGAATCTTCCCCCAAGACTGGATTTGGGGAATCCACCCCCAAGGCCAGGTCAGGAGAATCTACCCACAGGACTGGATTGGGAAACTCTTCCTTCAAGACTGGATTGGGGGAATCCACCCCCAGGACTGGATCAGGGGAACAGTCGCTCATGAAGCGGTCTTATTCTTCACCAAATGTCTGCGAGGTCTGCTTCTCTTTGTATGATCATTAAGCTTATGTTGTGTGTCCAATGCAATGGGTTAGGACTTGGGGTTTGGGAACAATTGAGTTGTAGTTTATAACCTGGCCTTACTTATAATTTATCATTTATACTCATAAGTATAAGTTACGTATAATTTTAAAGTTCCATTTTTTAACCTAGCACAGGTTAGCTTCAAGTTAGAAAATATTAAGAAATATTTCAGATGTAATCTGAATATAATTGAGATTACATCTTGCCTCTTGTCAGACGAGTCAATAATTTGGTTATTGTTCATAAATAATTCAAGCAGTTAGTGGAAGGAGGAAGAAACATGGATCATTCATCAAGATAGGAAAATAAGGATTAGCTAGCAGAACAACTGAAGTTCCATGATTTCATTAGGTTTTTTTGACAAATCATTTCAGTTTAGATTCTCATTCTTTCATACTTTATTGAATAGCCTTTTTTCTTTAGCCTTCTTGGATCCAAAATTCATACTGGAATGCTTTCCCCTGCTTGAAGCATAATTCAGACATAAAAGAATTTGAAGTTACTTAAATGTGGCTCAAAAAATACTGTCTGATACAATTTCCTGTTGGATAGGTGACCAGATAGTTCTCAATACAACAGTAGATGCAGAATTTGGCTTGAGAACTGGGCTCCTTTTGCTCTCTATGGGGATAAGAGTTCATATAGCATACGTTAATGCATATGCAATGAAGCATAAAAAATCTACCCTTGTCTATGATTGAAACCACATATAACATGAATTATGTTTTGATGGCAAATGGAAATGTTTGTAATTGTTCTTCCCATGTTGGATTGTATTCTTTGATACTTTAGAAAGGAAGCAATTTGTGGTGAGTGCTCCAATGTGGAAGATGGATATTTATATCTTGCAAAACACAATCATGGAAAGATCACTGCCTGTGGAATAATGTTATGCTTTCGGGACAGAGTATGATAGTAGGTATGCATAAGCTTCAGGGTGGGTTTCCATCTTCTCATCTCAATATCTCTGATATGCAAGTATCTTATGCTTATGATTATTGGATATTGTGAGCATGTGAGACAAGGTCTTACTTTGGCTGTGAACAGCTAGAGGATTCGCTTCCTATTGAGGGGAGACAAGCCTTTGTCGGAGGAAGACCAGACGCCACCCCGAATGTGGACCGGAGGTTAAAGCCAAC